TTCAATGTAAAACTCTGGCACATCGTTCAACAGTTGTTCAATAACCCATAGCACTGAAGAAATTGTCCGCTTCTCTCGTCGAATTTTCTGGTTCGTACACATAGAGCCGAGCCTCATTAAAAGATTTATTTGTGCTTAAATTGTGATAAAACGTTTATTATGAACAGACGAAACTTTCCACCCTTATAATTTGTGTAAAAAGGAGAATGTGACCAATCCAAAATCAATTTTTATCCAGCTCCCAAACTTTCCAAAAGTAAGGATTAAGTCTCGATTTCATCGTCTGCTTCCATGTAAAAAAAATAAAATAACACATTATAAATGGTATGCATTCGGAGTGCTGTGGATTTACCTTCATAAGGAACGCTCAAAGACAAATATTTGAAAGCCAATAGTATGTATATGCTAATAATAGGCAGATCCATCTACGGTCAACTTTGCCTGGAGTTGCACATAGACTTTGATGCATTATCGCTGCTTTGGTGACACATACTCATATTGAAACAGCACCAAATTCCCAAATCCAAACTGGAGTATTTACAATTAAAATCATCTATATAAATTTAGTGGAGTATTGTTGGCATGTGCTTTTGAAATCATCTACTGTTGATGATGATACAGCCCCGGTTTATCAATTGTATGCGTTCCACAGTCTTAAAGAAGAAAAGAAGGACTATTGGCACTGAATCATGGAAAACGGGGATTTAATATCGCTGACAAAGACCACTAGTGGTTGGGGCTACTCCTCGTGGGATGAGCTATGGCTGAGCAGCTGGTAAAGCCACAACTTGATGAACTTCTCTGTAGACCATGATGACTTTTGTTCTCTTTCGCCTTTCCTCCAATGTAGACTATTCAACATGCCACATGTGGAGCAGGATCTGCTTATCCTTCCGGAACACCTGATATCACCCCCGGTTTTGGTGGGGTTCGTGTTGCTCAGTCTTTAGTTTTCTATGTTACTGTGTTTTGTATACAGTTGTTTGTCTTTTTGTCTTTTTTTTTCATGGCGTTGTCAGTTTATTTTTGACTTATGAGTTTGAATGTCTTTTTGGTATCTTTCGCATCTCTTTTTGAACTTATGGTATTGTATACAGGCACCAATAACAAATCTTGCTTTCTTGCGTTATACTCTGTCTACATCGCTGATGCGTATTTCATTGGGGACTCGCTTAGCATTTTGATTTGATCATTCTTGGACATGGGCTTATATTTCTCTAGTAAAGCATATGTACAAAGTTCGTCGCCTTTACTGTCCCTATCGTTGTTCCATGTATACTACATCCCCTTATAATTGACGTTTGTTTGTCAAAACCTCACACTTATCGGGATTTAGCTGCATGGGCTATTTTACCCCCACTGTTGAAAGGCATTAAGATCTTTTTGAAGCCTGTAAGTGTCCTCGGGGATTTGAGTTTGCGGTGCAGTAAACAATCATCTGCAAAAAACCTGGACTTTTATGTGACTAGCTCAGGAAGGTCATATATGTATATCAAGAAGATAATTGGATCCATGACTGTTCCTTGAGGTGCTACATTGTATTTTTACGTCTGATGTTGATGATTGCTCTCCCTCAAGTAAAACCTGTGTTGTTTCAGATAGGGTGCTGGTTATCAATTGGAGATACCTCTTAAAAGACTAATCGCATCTGCTGATTAGACATTAGTGATTGGGCTTCATCAAAACCTTGCAAAAATGGAACAAAATGCTGTCTATATGTCCCAATTATCAAATCCATCTGTTAGGTCCTAAATCGTTAGTATAAGCGGTGCCTCACAATATCTTTCCTTTCTGAATCTATGTTGGTATTCGGGTAAAATGTTGTTGTTTTTCGTATGGCTTATGATGTTACTATGCAGTAAGACACTGATGATAAGACATAATATATTTGTACTTAAACACTTTTACAATAAATGGTTATGGCAACATAGTTTATAAAAGAATACTTATATTTATAGATGTCATTGACAAGGATTATAGTTGCAAGCTTTGCATATTTAACTGCATTTAAATTAAGGCGACATGCAGCAGTTAATCGATTTGGAAAATACAAACAAAGGTAACAAACAAAAATTGATGGAATCGCAAGAACTCCATAAGGGGCAAGAGCGGGTTCGTCGACAAGGAAAGTGTCTCCTTCTATGCATTCACGGTTCTGTCGATACCTGTATTTTGGCATTGCGCAAGGTCACGTGTTTCTCTGACTGTTAATGACACTAAATCGATTAGATGTTGGATGTTTACTGATTGATATTTAGTCTTAGGTACATTATTTTTTTATTAGTTGTTATCGGCTTTGAACTAGCTGTCAGTAGCTGCGAGTACTCTCAGATCTGTACTTTGTGTCTTTTTTTGTTGTGGGGATGTATAAATACCCTGCCACGTCCGTTCTGTGTTTTTGTTACTTGTTTTATATATTTTTTGGATCGATCTGATGAGTTGAAACTTTTCAACTGATTTTATAGTTTGTTCATTTGTTGTGTGCTGTTACACCACTGTCCCAGGTAAGGGGAGGGCTGGGCGCCCGCAAACATGTTTAACCCCGCCACATTCTATATGTACCTGTTCACAGTCAGTAGCCTGTAATTTAGTGGTTATCGTTCATTATATCTGTTTTTCATTTGTTTTGTATAGTTTGTTCTTGTGTTGTGTCGTTACACCGCTGTCCCAGGTTACGGGAGGGTTAGCGCCTTCAAACATGTTTAACCCCGCCACATTCTGTATGTGCCGGCACGGTCCCAAGTCAGGAACCTGTAATTCAGTGGTTGTCGTTTGTTGCTGTATATAATATTGTTTTTCGTTCATTGTTTTGTACATAAATCAGGCCGTTAGTTTTCTCGTTTGAATTGTTTTACACTTGTCATTTCGGGGCCTTTTATAGCTGACTATGCGGTCACATGGCCAAATGATGGGCTTTGCTCATTGTTGATGGCCGTACGGTGAGGCTATTCTATCCTTTGGGCAGACATACCGTGGCTGACTTATGTGTTACAAAAGATAGATAAAATTCGGGGTTAAAAAAAAACAAACAAAAAAAACATGTGGGATATCTTCTTAACATAAGTATGCTCTAAATTTGTGTAACAATTCTTTGTCTTTGAAATAATTCCTTAAAGATTGGTACAAACAAGTCTTCCTACATAATTAAGCCAAATGTCATTTAAAAAAATCAGGAGTCCATGTACTCGTTTTTAAGCTACTAAATCAAGTGGGAACATACATCTTTTCCCTTTGTGTTACATTTGACGGTCGCGAAAATACGTTAGCGATGTTATTACCTATCTTACCTACTTTGACCTGTAATGGTTTACTTTTACAAATTGTGACTTGGATGGAGAGTTGTCTCATTGGCACTCATACCACATCTTCTTATATCTATCATAAGAAGTCCAACCCTGACAAGTTTTAGGCAATAGCCATTGGCAAGAACCTGAAAACAAAACTATTTCTTTTAATTTAGATGGCAATATCATACATTGTGAAAAAGAAGTGAAAATACTTGGTGTAACTATTGATTATCACCTTAAGTTTGATACTCATATTTCTAATATTTGCAAAAAGGCATCAAGACAGTTAAATGTACTAAAAACGTATTGGTAAAAATTTAACGAAATTAGGTAGACTTACTATTTATTTTATTCATTTATTATGTCAAATTTTAATTATTGTCCAGTAGTATGGGCTTTACTGTGGTGATTGTTATACCAGAAATATAGAGAAAATACAGGAACGTGCCTTAAAATTTATTTATGAGGACTATTGTACCACATTTATTTATAAAATAGCTGTTAACTAAATCGAAATTACCAAGTTTAATCAAAGTACTGAAGTACTGAACATCGGATGACCGCAAGTTCTTGTGGATTGTCAGCTTAAGAGCTCTAACAAGCCTCCTCGTATCTGATGCAGAGAAACAAACGTAAATGTAACAAAGGTTCAAGTTTATTCACAGCAAATCAAATATACTGCAGTGCTAGGTATTAAGAATAGTGTGGGTTTCCCTACTGCAACATACACCAAGGGGCGGTGCTCAAGGAGCTGTGTTATATACACAGTCCTCCTCGTCCCGAAGCAGACAAAAAAGCCACATAGTTAACATTTTATAAAATAAATTTACTAGCAGCAGTGAGAATTGACTTATCATCTGTGTTCATAAGCCATATCAGTTTATCTCTTGAGTTAAGAGTTAAAAATTTGGGTTAACTTTAGTCAGTTATTTCTTGAAATAGATGAATGCGGTCATCATTAAATTTAACACATTGGAATAGAAAAATGATATTCATCAGTCCTCCACATCTCCGGAGTTACAACGAGTATAAGTTCTGTCATTTAGGAGAGTACCCTGATACCTTCCGGACTCAATTCTTAAGTGGTGTGATGGAATTCTGAGCTTTGTTAAGCCGTTCGTCTCTGTTCATAATTCCCCATATTGGAAAGATATTTTTCTCTTCCAAAATTTGATTTAAATGTAGCATAAGTTCTAAGTTACCATCTGAATACTTTATCAGTTCAGTGTGCCATAAGTCTATAAAATATGATTTTATTTTTTTTTCATATTAGCTTTGACGCTATACACCTTATCGCTATTCCCGCTTGACCCGAGAATCTGTCCCGCTTGAACTTTTTACGTCATACAACAATCACTTTTCCATTGTGGCGTCAAATATTTTCTATTATGACGTCAAAATTTTACGGGAACTTTTGTGATGTCCAGTAATGGCGGACAAATAGCGATAAGGTGTATTAATTTTTGGAAATGATAAAGCTAGATATATGATTGATGTCTGGGATCATTTCAAGAATTGACTTCATAGAGCCATACCAAGATATATTTATGTCGGTTAAATCTACAGAGCTTATGTTGTATTGTCATATGTATACCCGACTTTAAATAAATCTTTTATGCTTTTTTTATGTCTGTAACTGTGTCCAAAGATGCGATATTCCGACGTTGACTTAATTATTAATATTTAAGTATCGCTGCTAATTCTACTGTTAATGGCTGCGCCCATGAAGTGATATTTGCGGACTTTGAACTGTTGAGGGTCAAACATGTCTAAATAAATATTCATATCGTTCTACTTTATGACACAACAAAGATAAATGTTCCAAGCAGCACGGATGAGCGTCGAACGCTCAATACGCCGACTTCAGGTAAATTATTACAAGAAATCCCGTCTTTTCAAACCAACAACTTATGTAATGATTTTTTTAAGTTCCACTTAAGTCAAAATCTAGGTCTACTAAGACCAGTCGAATACAACAAACTGTTTCCTGCATTTAAAAATTCAATAATGCAACCTCAAAATTCATTATGAGACAGGTGTTATCTGTGTCTGTGAAAGAGGACACACTCTGTTTGAATAATTAATTAAATACTGCTTTTTGGAAAATGAAAACTACAGTAAAATGTACTATGGTCCTCAATAAATGTATTTACACTTGTATGCACATTAATTTTTTTTTTTGTCTGACAAAACTTTAAAATTTTAATATTTGAGGTGGGGTTGGAGGGGTCCTGATCCCGAAATCCCAGGCTTAAGAACATGAAATCCTGAGGTCCCGAATTTAAAGAAATTTAAATCCCGACATCCTGAAATTCGAAAAAAGTATTCCCGGATCCGGAAAGGATCAATCCCGAAATCCTGAGCTTAAAAACACCCGATCACAGAGTCCTGATAAAGGTCTGACCCCCACCCCCCATATTTCACATCATAATTAATCATATGTTCACCAATTCCAACAATTATGTAAAGTTTCCACTGAATCAATAAAAGCAAACTCAAGTAATGGTATAATATGTGAAAAATTTACTAATATCTGACAATTAAAGTCTCATAGCTATGGAGCAACAAACCGAAAAATTTATTAAATAAAAAGGAAATTTCCTTTCAGCAATCCCAACAATTATGTAAAGATGAGTAAATCAATCCTGGACTACCGAAGTAAGTGCACTATTTGTGAAAAATTGCTCTAAATGTAACCATGGTAACAGTTAAAGTTCTGTAACTCTGGTGAAAAAAAACCCAGAAAATAAAAAAAAAATCACAAGGGAGCTTCCTTTCATCAATCCCCACAGTGGCACATTAATGTAGTTTGGAGGAATTCAATTCAGGAATTCTGGAGTTTAGTGCATGATTTATGAAAAATTGCCTTAAATTTAAGGGTCAAAGTTCCGAAACTCTAGAATGACAAATCCTAAAATTAAAAAAAAAATAGAAAGAGAGATTTCTTCTGTCGTTCTAATGTTGTATTACAGTTATATGTGAATTTGAGTGATCATACAAAGTGGGTACTGGCAGACGGACATAAGAATACCGTAATACCTCCCGTCTTCGACAGACGTATAAAAATTTATTGTTGCTTGACATCTGAAGGTTATTCGGAGACAGATCTAGGGTTATTCAGAGACAAAATTTAGCTATATACCAAAAGTATATATACATCTATCAAATTTACATTTTAATATTATGATATTAAAAAACACAAAAAGTCACTATCATTTATAAAACAATCAGTAAATTTTGAATACCCTTCATCTTTGGATTCATGACTGAAGGCTAAATAATATATAAATCTTTACAAAATTGGCCCAAAAAATTGAGTTCCTAAGATCATGAAGATAATTTCTGTTGAACTGAGTTTCAGAAACATATCCGATGTTGGTTCTGTCGTTAGGAACTTTATTTATCAGGTCATTGTCAATGTTAACTAAGAAAAACTACCTTCACTGTTCAGGTAACATTTTTTTTTCTTCATATTATACAAGTATTTTTTTAATTTTTTATTAAGAATAAAAAATAATTTACGACAAAGTTTGATAATTATTAATCTTCTTGTATCCTATCTTTAGCAGATACAAAAATCTGCCTGATTGATCAGTTGAGTTTCCACAGATAACTAATTTTGTAGCTATAAAATATTATGTTGGATAAGCATGATAAGCATTCATTTTAAAATGACACAACATTTATTTTCATTGTGTAACTGCCAATATGCAATATTCATTTGGTAATCAGATACAACAAACTTGAAGTAAATCATATGATGCTTTAGTTCAAATAATTATGACATCTTGAAAGGCTAATTTAAATTTTTAATCTAACACCTTCATAAGAACAAATTAAAATAGCCTTTCAAGACGTCATATATCATTTGGACTAACGATGCTTCTTTCTTATATTTTACTCAAAATCGCAAGAAAAACAATACCAGGAGAGAGAAACAAGACCTGAAAAGATTCTGTGCAAATGGGGCAGTCTGAAAAAAGATTTGATAAGGATTTTTTAGTATATATTGATTTTTTTTATATTGAATTTCATTTTAATTGATTTTCCTACTGTTATAGAGGACTTTGTTATTACAAGATAAATGCACATTCCATCTTCACTAGCCAAGGGTTTCGATCACGCTACCTCCTCCTCACCCTTGGCAGATTTATTAAAAATTTCGGATCCACAAGGTAATGATTTCAATTGGTACATGTAGCAGTTGTTATAATGCCATTAGTGTGTCTCAATCACTGTAGTCAATTACCTACCAGTGTACTGAAGAACTCATAAGGTGCCCCTGTGACATCTGATGAAGGCATGGTGGATCTATTTTGTCCACCTTCTCTTTAATTAGTGGAAGGAAACTTTTTTTATTCTATTTATTGTTAAGTACAAAAAAAAATGTACATATGCATGAAGTAAGAGTCATAGGGAAATATTTGAAAGGGTGGTCCCACCTTAAATTCAGAAACACTTGATTGTTGTCTTTATAAACATAATTAAGTTGACTTGATATTCCTTTTCTTACACTAGATTTTGTCAGGGACACTTAAAGGAAACTATGGAAGACCCAGTTCTGAGTTTTTGTCCATACGAAATTGTTCAAGCAGCTCTGGAAAGGACAGTGTCAGCATTGGTGAAGTTTCCATTAACATAAAAGAAGCTAAGAATCCAGAACTAGTGCCTTCCAAGTATCTTGATAAAGATTCACCACAATCCATACTGAGACATCTACAATGGATTATGCAGAAGGATTCACTGGGACAGGATATCTTCCTTATAGGTATGTTTTCTCCAGCTGCTTGATGTTTTAAAAAGGCAGAATTTTGCTGAAAATTAAAAAAATCAAAATGTTAAAATTACAAAATATAATTCTTACTTGGAGCTAATGCATGTACAAACATTTAAATTTATCCCAAATGACCCCCTCCCCATGTACATGATGTACAAATAATGTTCTTTACATTTTGTACATCCGTTTGAGCCCCCTTCTACTTCTACTTCTACGGCCACTTTAGGATCACATGTTAATATTTTTTGGTTTTCCTCTGACCAATTCCAAAATGGCTGGTGTTGTGTAGGGGCAATAATTATTCAATCATGCTGCTAAAAAAATAAACACTTTTATAACCTGTTATAGTTGTTTATACTGACTGACTTTAAAAATGCACAGTCTGTTGATTTTTTTGGGTCAAAACATTATTATTCTGCATAATATTGCTATTCATGCTTACCATACTTCTAATTGATTAGAAAAAATCAATACCTGATTTACATGTACATATATGTACATGAGATAATTGGACATGTACTGGAATATTGATGTTGCACACTTTTCTTGATACTAGATTTGATACCCTAAACATTTCTTTGAAACCATACTTTCACTTAAATCAGTGAAAAATGTTGTGCTTCCATATTGCTAAGACTAAGCAATGAAAATCTTGATTGTGGAGATAATAATGTTGCAGGCAAGAAAAAGTCAACTTGCTTTTGGTAGACAATTTCACGTCATAAGTTCCCCATTCAGTCCTTATAAGAACAGTACAGCCAGACAGGAATTGTAAATGACCATCAATCCCCAGGGCAACCTGTGGTTACTACTCCATGTCAATAAAATTTAATTACACAACACCATTTGAGCAAAAGATTTACAACTATAACGTCAACTGCAAACAAAGTCCAGGGTTTTCATGGCTGACAGATTCACGCCAAAAATGTTTTCCATACACTGAAACTCCACAGAATCCACTGCCACATGACTGCAGAAAATCAATATAAGATTTATAAGTTTAAACTGCATTATTGCCAAGTAAGACAGGCATAATTAGCAGGGAAAAAACTGAACTCAAAACATTCCCACAGAACTGGTCCACATCTTTGTCAATCATTTAGTCTTTGGTTACAATATGCAAGTAGTCATTGCCTTCACACGTCACACTCATTAATTAGGGGATGTACAGGTTTATGTGCATACCACATTAACCACAACATCAAACGTGATGTAATCAATGCAACTTTTAATCTGCAAGCTTTTTTTAGATGATGAAGAAATGAAGGATATTTATGTTTATATATTTATTTTACAAATACTAGTATGCATACATGCATTTGAAAATGAAAATTGAAAAAGTGAATCTAGTGTTGCTTTAAGCTTTAAGTCTGTCAGTAAAGCTTACTATAGGTATACAATGTATATAGGTTTTGTTTGTTGTTAATGGTTGTATGTCAGTAAAGCTTACTATAGGTATACAATGTATATGGGTTTTGTTTATTGTTAATGGTTGTATGTCAGTAAAGCTTACTATAGGTATACAATGTATATAGGTTTTGTTTGTTGTTAATGGTTGTATGTCAGTAAAGTTTACTATAGGTATACAATGTATATGGGTTTTGTTTGTTGTTAATGGTTGTATGTCAGTAAAGTTTACTATAGGTATACAATGTATATGGGTTTATTGTTAATGGTTGTATGTCAGTAAAGCTTACTATAGGTATACAATGTATATGGGTTTTGTTTGTTGTTAATGGTTGTATGTCAGTAAAGTTTACTATAGGTATACAATGTATATGGGTTTATTGTTAATGGTTGTATGTCAGTAAAGCTTACTGTAGGTATACAATGTATATGGGTTTATTGTTAATGGTTGTATGTCAGTAAAGCTTACTATAGGTATACAATGTATATGGGTTTATTGTTAATGGTTGTATGTCAGTAAAGCTTACTATAGGTATACAATGTATATGGGTTTATTGTTAATGGTTGTATGTCAGTAAAGCTTACTATAGGTATACAATGTATATGGGTTTATTGTTGATGGTTGTATGTCAGTAAAGCTTACTATAGGTATACAATGTATATGGGTTTATTGTTAATGGTTGTATGTCAGTAAAGCTTACTATAGGTATACAATGTATATGGGTTTATTGTTAATGGTTGTATGTCAGTAAAGCTTGCTATAGGTATACAATGTATATGGGTTTATTGTTAATGGTTGTATGTCAGTAAAGCTTACTATAGGTATACAATGTATATGGGTTTATTGTTGATGGTTGTATGTCAGTAAAGCTTACTATAGGTATACAATGTATATGGGTTTATTGTTAATGGTTGTATGGTGACCTATAGTAGTTAACATCCTCATTCTTTGGTCTCTGGTGGATTGCTATGTACCTTTTCTACAAAGATTCAAGGAAATCGGTGTAGTAAACAGTTTTCTAGTCTAGGAGTGTCAGATGAAGAGCTTGACATACATGTATTGTATAGACAAAGTCTGTCTATTTTTGAAGATCTGGTTTGATCTCTAAACTTTTGATATTTTTCGTATTGTTTGGTTACTGTTTCATCGGTGAATAACCTGCATCTTTTTTAATTAACATTCTTTTGAATAGCAAATTAACTGTACCACACTTTAAGTGACTCTTGCTTATTCAGGTATATTATTATTCTGGTATGAAGATTCACCAAGAATTCAATGTTTTAAAATATTCAACAAGTGACCAAACAAAACATTAATTCATGAATGAGAGTTTTCCTTGAGTTAATGATCAGTGTTTTTTTTTTGTCACAAGTTGAATATTTTCATAATATTTGAATTCTTGGACTAGTTATTGTTTTTTGAAAAGATTAAAACTATTAGTTAGGAGTTATTGCCCTTAATAGTCAATTTTTAACAATTTTTTGTAAATTTTTGTAATCTTTTACAAAAATCTTCTTCTCTGAAACTACTGAGACAAATTTAACCATACTTAGCCATAATCATTATTAGGGTATCTAGTTTAAAAAATTTGTCCGATGACCCTGCCTTCCAACCATCATGGCCGACTTGGTTAAAAATAGAACATAGGGGTAAAATGCAGTTTTTGGTTTATATCTCTGAAACTAAAGCATTTAGAGCAAATCTGACAGGTGGCAAAAAATGTTCATCATATTTAGATTTATCTGCCATGAATTTTCAGACGAATCCGACGACCCGTTGTTGGATTGCTGCCCCTGAGTTAGTAATTTTACAAAAATTTTGCAGTTTTTTGTTATTATCTTAGATATCATTATAATATCTAATATCTAATACTATTAATTATGATTTTAACCTTATTTAACATGATTTCCAAAGCATCAGTAAATACAGGTGAGCGACACAGGCTCTTGAGAGCCTCTAATTCCCTGTATCTTGCAACTGTCTAATAATAAATTTTATTCCAATCAAAGAAGAAAACTCAAGTTAGGACCCGAACTCATTTCCCAACAAAATATCTAAAGTAATAGCGACCTTTTTTCTCCAAATTTTTCTATTTTAGTAACTTGACCTTTGACCTATTGACCCAAAATGTATGGGCTTTTCCCCCTCCCTATTTCTTCTATCTGTTTAAGTTCCATTCCAATCAAACTAGGAGTACACAAGCTGTCATCTGGAAACCATTGGTTTTGGACACAAAGTGCATTTTCAATGCCTGTTCTGGGAAATATGAAATCAATATGCTATAAAAATCCATTGTCATGTCCATATATCAAACTCATTGAAATTTTGTTTTAAAGAATTTGCCTCAATAATTATTTTTTTTCTTCATCTTTTGACATTTGAATGAAAACATTATAGATATACATGTAGTAAGATTATGGAAATCAAAACTACCCTTTGCCATCTACAACCATTTATCGCCAGTGTCATATAATTTATTTTCTATCACAATCAATCAACAATCATAAGGAGATAGGCAAATAGCATCCCTATAATTGAAAATAGAAATGCACCCCCAAAACAACCATTTACACAATTTTGGGAGACACGTTCTTAGATTCTAGTATCTTTATCTATTGGTCCTCTGGTTTACTGAGGAATAACAATCATAAACTTTTTTAGAGGAATTTTTATTTGGTAATTTTGTTTTGTTTAAAAAAATATAAACTATAAACTTGAGATTGTGAACATAATTTTTTTAAATGACAATATAATAGAAATTGTGAATTTAGTGACCACTGACGTTGTCACATATTAAGCTCATTTTTTCTACTGAAAAAATTTCAGAAATGTCTGAAAAGATTAAACTGAGTAATTCACGGTCTAAATTTTAATTGTAATTAAAATGTCTGGCGTACAAAATTTTAATCCTGGTATCTATGATGATGATGCTACTGCCGGTGGAGGTTTCCTCATTTAGGGGTTTCACCAGCCCAGTAGTCAGCACTTCTGTGTCGACACGAGTTATTATTGATAAGGTCATAATAGGTCATAATTATAAATTAACTGTTTACAAAACTTTGAATTTTTCAAAATACTTTTAATGTTCGACTCCAGGAAGAGACTACCTTAGCTGTATTTGAAAAAACCTTTCGGAATTTTGGGTCCTCAATGCTCTTCAATTTCGTACTTTATTAGGCCTTTTGTAGACGACTTCGCGTCTGGCGTACATAATTTTAATCCTGTTGTCTCTGATGGGTTCATTCACAAGCACTGGGTCGATGACACTACTGGTGGAGGTTCACTACCTAAAAGTATCACCAGTCCAGTAGTCAGCACTTCTGTATCGACATAAATCATCATTGATATGGTCGTAATTATAAATTAAATGTTTACAAAACTGTTTTAACCCAGTAATAGATTACTTTAGGTGTATTTGGCAAAACGATTCGGAATTTGGGTCCTCAATGATCTTCAACTTCGTACTTTTTTTTAGCCTTTTTTACTTTTTGATTCGAGCCACTGATGAGTCTTTTGTAGACTAAACGGGCGTCTGGTATCCATGGTGAGTTTATTAAGTGAATTCATTGATATTACAATTAATAAGATTCTCTTATGGGTTTTAGGTTCACCAGGACCATTGAGACGTCAGGTGGCCATGATGTATTTACAACTAACAAATCGTGAAGGAGAATACATTGCCTTGTCAAGAGACACAACTGAGTCTGATATCAAGCAGAGGCGGGAGATCCATTCTGGAAATGCTTTTTATCTAGACCAGTGCGCTGTCAGAGCTGCAACGCATGGGCGAATATTACTTTTGGAGGGAATAGAAAAAGCTGAAAGAAATGTACTACCTATTTTGAACAATTTGTTGGAAAATCGTGAGATGCAACTAGATGATGGACGATTCCTTGTTGCAGCAGATCGGTATGATAAACTTTTGGAAGATCATTCAAAAGAAGAGCTTGATCAGCTTAAATTAGTACGGGTAAATGAAAGATTTCGGGTAATTGCTTTAGGTCATCCTGTGCCTAAATACAAGGGCAACCCTCTAGATCCTCCTTTGCGTTCGCGATTTCAGGCAAGAGACATTCTTTCACCAACATTTAAGGAAATGATGCAGACTCTGCAGGATGAACTTCATAATATACCAACACATCAATTGTCTCAAGTGCTATCGTTTGCTACAGCAGTGTTGACAAAAGAATCCAATACACTAGGATTACCAGATTTTCCCATTTCCAATATTTCGTCAATAGCCAGGATCTTAAACACTGCACCAGATACAAACATTTATAACTTAATACAGAGATTGTATCCTTATGAAGTAATGCTTGGAAAAGAAGGACAAACAGCAGTCAAACAACTTTTGACAAAATTCGAATTGTTAGGAAAAAATGACTTATCCAAAAAGACCGAAGAAATTTCTCCTCCAGCTGCATCTAATGATCAAGCATCTGTGATATTAAACAATAAGTCAAGATTAAGTGTCACAGTAGGAACAAAACCTTTAAATAAAACTGGCAAAGAATCATTCGTTCCTACACCTTATCTTGATAATATGTTGGCAGAAATGATTCAGTCTCATATGGTTGGCGATTTTTGTATTGTTGGTCCACGGGGAAGTGGTAAAAGTGCCATTGTGGAACACTTTGCTGAGATGTTAGGTTATCATGTAGAACCCATTATGCTATACCAAGACATGACGTCACGAGATTTGCTTCAGCAACGCCACACTTTACCAAACGGAGACACCACTTGGAGAATGTCTCCTTTATTAACAGCAGCATTAGAGGGGAGTTTAGCTGTTTTAGATGGTGTACATAGAATTAACCAAGGATCCTTTGGTGTTTTACACAGATTGATACATGATCGCGAGCTACAGTTATTTGATGGCACGCGACTACTTCGACAAGATAGATTTTTAGAAATAAAAGAGAAAACTGGAGAAACGACAGAAGAACTCTGTGCAAAAGGAATTCATCCAATACATCCTTCATTTAGAATTATTGCTTTAGCCGAACCACCAGTAACAGGAAGTGGAACACAGCAGTGGATTACACCTGAAATGCTCACTATGTTTCTTTTCCACAATCAAAGACGCCTCTCTAAACAGGAAGAAATGCAGGTAATTCAATCAGTCGTTAAAGATTGTCCAGACTTGACCAAATTGTTTGCATTTGTTCACCAGCTGCGATCTTCCACGGATCCAGCTATGAATTCAGTTGCTTCATCTTTGTCAACACGTCAGCTGTTACGAATTGCTAAGCGCTTAGCAGTTTTCCCTAGTAAAGATTTCCACAATGTTGTACAGAAAGCTTGCTTAGCTAGATTTCTACCACGTCTTCCAAAAGTGAGTCTTGATCAGGCTTTGGAAGCTGCTGACATTAGAAAAGACATGCAAAACTTAGATACGGACTATTCTGATAAAGATATGACTTGTGAAGTAAAGAAGGGCAAGTTACGAATAGGTAGAACATCAATTCCATTGTACAATCCAGAAAACAGAACAAAAGTACCTGACATTTTATTTTATGAGAACCATCAACATTTAATGGTTATGGAAGATATGATGAAGGATTTCTTACTTGGGGAACATTTACTGCTTGTTGGAAACCAAGGTGTAGGGAAAAATAAGATTGTAGATAGATTTTTGCAGTTGTTAAATCGGCCGAGAGAATACATTCAGTTACACAGAGACACAACAGTTCAGACATTGACACTTCAACCAACTGTAAAAGATGGAATAATAATATTCGAGGATTCTCCTTTAGTAAGAGCTGTAAAAGAAGGTCACGTACTTGTTGTAGACGAGGCAGACAAGGCACCGACGCATGTGACTTGCATTCTGAAAACACTTGTTGAATCTGGCGAAATGCACTTAGGAGATGGTAGACGAATTGTACCACATGATTCTGGTATGAAACCATCAGCAGAATTGATTATGAGCCATCCAGATTTTCGAATGATAGTCTTAGCTAACCGTCCTGGATTTCCATTTTTAGGAAACGACTTTTTTGGAGCATTAGGAGATATTTTTAGTTGTCACGCAATCAATAATCCTGATATGGAATCTGAAATGGAAATGCTGAAACAGTATGGACCTGACGTTCCAGAGGGCACATTACGAAAACTTGTTCAGGCCTTTGGTGAACTTCGTGATTTGGCAGACCAGGGTTTAATTGCATATCCTTATTCTACCAGAGAAATTGTCAACATGGTAAAACATTTACAGATGTATCCAAATGAAGGATTGACCGCAGTTGTTCGAAATGTTTTTGATTTTGATTCCTACAATAATGAACTTAAAGAGACTATTGTAAAAACAATGCAGAAGCATGGTATACCATTTGGAGCAACCGAGGCAGTGGTGAATTTAGCAAGACTTATGCCACTTCCAAAATTTGAGCTGAAGGGGCAGCTTCAAATATCAAGTCAAGGAGATCGCAAACACACAGGTTAATACTATCATACTAATTTATTATGGTACTATAACTATGCTTTTAGGGACTTAATTAAAATGGCATCATACAGCAGGCATGGGGTAATGCAAATTTGTAATTGTAATGCATGGTAATGCATTACATTTTTCCAAGTAATTGCATGTAATGTGTAATGCAACAATTTTTGCGTTACACGTAATTGTAATTAAATGCATTACTTTAGCAAAATGTTGTGTAATTTCATGCATTACATTGCATTATACGGCATTACTTTTTTCACATACTATATATCTTTTAATAACAGATTGTTGGAGATTTAAATAAGGCAGAATTTAAGATTTCTTGATCATTTTATTTTATACATTTTCATACATTTTCCTGCATAAAAAGATTGATATTTAAAAGGCATTACTGTATTCCATTGTTGTCAAAAGATCAATGAATACCTTGTCATGATTAAATAACAGATAATTGATCATTGTCATAAAACACTTATTAGTTTGTTTTACAATCAATCTTTTCACCATTTTGACACTTGGTCATAAATTAAGCTCTATGTTTATTATATAATTAGGAAAGAATTTCATAGTAAATTTTTTGATTGAAATTTAAAAAAAAAATAAATGTATATTTATAAAAGTAAAGTTAACATTAAGTTAAAATAAGTATTAAACTTCATCTCTGTAATTTCTTTTTTGAGAAAACACAGAGATGTATACCTTGAAACATAGAATGTGCATGAAGGATAAAACCTTCGAAACCCTTATGATGTTAAAATGTAATAGTCGTATTGAATAGACTTTTTACATGTATACTTAAATTCAATACATGGAACAGTTACTGCATATGCTAGAATCTTTTGTGACTTCATGTTGTTTTTCAAAATGTTTGATTTTTCTTTTCACTTGATAATAAAATTTACAAATGTAATGTGTAATTCAATGCATTACTTTGCAAAAGTAATTGTAATTTAATGCATGGTTTTGTCAAAGTAATTGTAATTTAATGCATGGTTTTGTCAAAGTAATTGTAATTTAATGCATGGTTTTGTCAAAGTAATTGTAATATAATGCATTACATTGCAATGTAATTCGCCCCATGCCTGTCATACACCAAGCTTTATATTATATCGCCTGCAACGTAGCAACAGGCGATACTTAGATGTGTTCCTTTGCCAGTGTCACTCAAGGATGCAATAGAGACAATATTGATAAGTTTTCATATTAGATCCACCATAAACTTCATATTTTGCATTCTATTACAAAGGTAACCGTAATAGCAGACGTTTCATGACAACCTGTCTGCCTCAACCTCAAGCAAAAGAATAAGTCCAAGAACACCAAACCATAGTCCAGTTTTCATTGTTTACAGATTGATATTTCATAGTAGTTAAATACTGGTATTCATTTATGCAATAATCAATGAACCTCCTTCGTAAATACATGAAGTCTTACGATGATGCTCATTCAACTATTAAGAATTTAAAGCTCTTCAAAAATTAAGTTATTCTGAATTTATGTAAAAAATCTGTAGCCCATTAATATTTTGCATGATTTCCTTGCGGTTGTATTGACTCCATTGGGGTCCAAAAATAATCTTTATTTGATTTCAACAAAACTTTGATATATTGGGTTCTTTGATATGTTGAATCTAACCGTGTATTTAGATTTTGGATATTGGGCCCTGTTATTAAATTGGTCCACATTGAGGTCCAAAGGGTTCAAAATTAAACTTTGTTTGATTTCATCAAAAAATGAATTCTTTGGGTTCTTTGATATGCTGAATCTAACCATGTATTTCGATTTTGGATATTGGACCAATATAGGTTAATGTCCAATTCCAATTTTTTAAGTTCAGACCACATTCATTCTGTGTCAGAAACGTATGCTATGTCAAATATTTAATCACAATCCAAATACAGAGCTGCATCAAGCTTGAATGTTGTGTCCATACTTGCCCCAACTGTTCAGGGTTCGACCTGTGCGGTCGTATCAAGCTGCTCCCTGTGGAGCATTTTATTCGAAGATTTTATAAGCAACTATATTTAGTGTATGGAATGATTGTAAGGTGTTCATGTTCGTCTGACAGCATTCGTTTGGCCTTTACCTCTTTGTAACACTTGTATAACATTTTTTCTCTAAGACTTTTAGCATTATTTCAATCATGATTAGTAAAGCAGGGTTCATCTGAAATCGATCTCATTTTCATAACTCCGTTGGTCATCGTGAAGGTTTCGTGGTGAGGTTCGTTTCTCAGATACTATCTGCAATATGTATCTATATTTGGTGTGTGGTAAGATTTCAGTGTGTACATGTTCGTCAGACAGGGTTTATTTGACCTCCTCCTCATTTTATAGATCAGTGATCAACGTTAAGTTTTCGTGCAAATGTCGGTTTCTCATACTATAAGCAGTCAAATTTATTTGGTATATGGAATGATTGTAAGGTTTTCGTGTCCGTCTGGCAGGGTTCATCTGGTCTTACCTGATTTTCAAATATCATAGATTATGTTATGTTTATGTGATACCGGTATCTTAAAGACTTTTTATATAAAGTTCAGCGTCAGGTTATAACAATAGACAAGTGTCTATACAAAATGTAATACTCTAAATAAGTCCTAGTCGAGAATGGTGTAGAACATTGAATTTGACAAGCAAAATATATTAAATGACAATTTTATTTTCTTAAGACCATAACTGATGATTTTTCTGACTTGGTACACGCACATATACGCATGTAGCGGGATTAAACTATTTTTAAGGGTGTCAATCCTCCCTTTTTAATTTTGATAAATGGTATAACAAAAAGTGGTATAAAAGAACTTACGAAAGTAACAGTACAGAAAGAGCACTTAACTCAACAATAATAAAAAAGGAAAATAATAGCGCCGCAATAATAATCAAAACTGTATCAAAGAATGCAGGCAGTTACTAAAAGCAAGCTCACAACCTAATGAAATGATATTGTGATATCTTATACATGGTAAGTTAACAGTATTGTATATGTGAGTTCATTATCAAAACTACGTGTGTATCTCAAAGGTTTCATTCCACTTTTATCCGGTGACAGACTTAATAGGGATTTTTCCCAAGTGAGGTATTTTTTCCTTGTCACTGTCTATGTTTTTGTCGGTTATGAATTTGATGTTAGTGTCAAATATTTTATTATATACATCCTCAATTTAATCATAAATTGCCTTATCTTAGTAATTCAAGGCTTCACATACCTTCTATTCATTTGTAGTTCGTTGAACATTTCTAGTGATCGATGTGGTGTATTTTGACGTTAACCCAAGTTTTTTTTTCATTGACTAGAATGCCGGTGTCCGTCCGTCCGTCCGTCCACCCATCCACACATTTCGCGATAACTCAAGTACGCCCAAACCATACAAGTTCTTACTTAATTGAAAATTGAGTTGCAATTTCTGTGATCCAAATGATCGATAAAATATGTAACACCAACGGTGATGGTAAGAGCTCCTGTCATCCTAGAGCTGGTGTTTCGTGAGCTTTATAATTGTCCCAAAAGAAACATTTACAAAATAAATTTTTAAAAACTATCATGGGATGTAATGCTAAGAATTTCAACCACAAAACGCTTCGTTTTTTTTTGTAAATTAAATATTTTATGAAAGGATGTTGGTTTTTATACGACCGCAAAAAAATATTGGTATGACGTTGGCGTCGTCGTCCGAAGACACATTGGTTTTTCGCACTCTTAACTTTAGTTTAAGTGAATGGATCTGTATGAAATTTTACCATAAGGTTTAATACCACAAAAGGAAGGTTGGGATTGATTTTGGGGGTTATGGTACCAACAGTTAAGGAATTAGGGGCCAAAAATAAGCATTTTTGTAACTTCCAGACATAACTTGTGTGTAAGTTTATGGATCTCTCTGACATTGTATCACAAGGTTCCATATCACAAAGGGAAAGCTGGAATTGAGTTTAGGGGTAATTGCCCAAAAAGTTTAGGAATAACGGGCCAAAAATAAGCATTTTTCTAGTTTCCAGACAATAACTTGTGTTCAAGTGTATGGATCTCTCTGAAATTGTACTGCAAGGTACCATACCACAAAGGGAGGGCTGGGATTGAGTTTGGGGGTGATGAATCATAAGGGGGTTCAAAAATTTGGGGGAGGGATTTTTTTTTCCTTTTTTTTTCTTTAAAATTTTCCATTTTAAATTGGTTATTTCTGATTTATATATAAAAGCAAATAATAATGATATGGTTTGAATAGGTAAATTAAAAATTTTTTAAGTTCTTAGACCACATTCATTCTGTGTCAGAAACCTATGCTGTGTCAATTTAATCACAATCCAAATTCAGTGCTGTTATCAAGCTTGAATGTTGTGTCCATACTTGCCCAAACTGTTCAGGGTTCGACCTCTGCGGTCGTATCAAGCTGCGCCCAGCGGAGCATTTTATTTTCTAAAGGTATTGTAATATTCTTCAAACAAGGTGGAGACGAACTAATTGCATTTACTGGGCCACACTCATTTCATATCTTTACCTGTGAATATCGGAGATAACAAGTGGACTGTTACTGCAACTGATAACAAAAAAAAATATTTGATACATTTAAATGCAGACAACGACTTTATTTTCAGTCATATTGACGAGCAGGATATCGATTTGAAATTATTAGCATCAGCGCCCTTCCCTCTGCTGTGCTCTCATATCTTGTTTGACTTATTCTAGTGTCGAACTAAGAGTACGATAAGATTGTTTTTTCCTTCAAAAAACTTACCAGCAATTTACATTGCGAAAAATGCAGATCAGTAAAATACTGGTGAATAGGTGGTAACCTTTTTTTTTCTAATCGTTATCCTTTTTCCGTTTAAAAGGTTATGTTGTAGTACTCAACTGTTAATTACTAAGCAAAGGATGTGCATTGGTATGGGACAACAAACTAAAGACTTGGAAAAGTTGGCTCATGTATTGTTGTTCTTCATCTTTTACAGTTGCTAGAAGGTCTGGAAGAGCTATAGTTATCAAGATACCCACTAGCGTCTACCCAAGTAAACGTTTTTGTAACAATACTTTTCAATATTATAATATGATTTCTGCATTACTTGGCTATAACAAAACAGAGTATTTATTAAAGACACTCTTGGTTTGACTTATAATTTATTTAAGCATTACTCATGTTTATAGAAGCGTTTTGATTGAGTACTCTAAATCCTTATTTTCGTATCCAAGTAACCGCCAGTTCCTATTATGAACTCCTTGGTAGAGGGTTGCTGCTTACAAAGAAGCTATAAAACCAAGGTTTCCAAGTGGTAAAGTTTAAAGTCATCCCTTCGAAAATTACTTGCTTGTTGACCATTATCGAATACCGATTTCACAGATGACGATGGATGTTCCAATTGTCGTAACCACAATCCCTTCCTCTTTTCATCGAATGTGACATCACTGAATTATAATTATCACCGGGTTTGTACTTATATGAGTAACAAGGAGGGTCCATCATGTTGAGCATGATCTGCTTACCCTTCCGGAGCACCTGAGACCACCACCACTTATTGGTGGGTTCGTGTGGCTTAGCCTTGTTTTTTATTTTGTGTTTTGTATACTGTTGTCTGTCTTTTGGTCGTCGTTTTTGTATTTTTGCCATGGGCTTTTCTAATTTTAACTTCGTGTTTTGTATACTGTTGTTTGTCTTTTGGTCGTCGTTTTTGTATTTTTGCCATGGGGCTTAGTCTAATTTTTATTTCGTGTTTTGTATACTGTTGTATGTCTTTTGGTCGTCGTTTTTGTATTTTTGCCATGGGGCTTAGTCTAATTTTTATTTTGTGTTTTATATACGTTTGTCTGTCTTTTGTTCGTCGTTTTTGTATTTTTGCCATGGGGCTTAGTCTAGTTTTTATTTCGTGTTTTGTATACTGTTGTCTGTCTTTTGGTCGTCGTTTTTATACGCCCGTTTACGGGACGTATTATGGTATACCGTTGTCCGTCTGTCCGTCCGTCTGTCCGTCGTCAACATGTCGGACATTAACTCAAAAATGCTTTAACCAATTTGCATAAAACTTTGGTGAATTGTTTATATCTATTGACGTGAGCTCCCTTTCGTTTTTTATAAAATTTAGATTTTACGTTTCAGAGTTATGGGGTTTTATTCATAAAAAAAGGGGGGATTTTCCAGTTTTCGGACAAAAACTCAAAAATGCTTTCACCAACTTGCAAGAAAGTGTAGTAAATTGTTTATATCTATTGACATGAGCTCCCTTTTGATTTTTATAAATTTTAGATTTTACGTTTCCGAGTTACAGGGTTTTATTCATAAAAAAAGGGGGGATTTTCCAGTTTTCAGACAAAAACTCAAAAATGCTGTCAGCAATTCTTATGAAACTTTTGTGAATTGTTTGTATGTATTGATGTAAGCTCCCTTAAGAATTTTATAAATTTTACATTTTACATTTCTGAGTTATGGGCTTTTATTCATTAAAAAAAGGGGTGATTTTCCAGTTTTCGGACAATAACTCAAAAATGCAGTCACCAATTCTCATGAAACTTTGGTGAATTGTTTATTTCTATTGATGTAAGCTCCCTTTTTATTTTTTTAAATTTCTAATATGACATTGAGAATTAATTGAACTTTATTTGTTTATAGTCTGACAACAGATTTACTAAGTATTGCACAACAGCAAGAAATCTTTAATTGAATATAAATTCAATTCATATAACCAATTTCAAGTTCTTTGACTACATTTATTCAGAAACCTATAATATGTCAAATATTTAATTACAATCCAAATTCAGACCTGAATCAAGCTTGAATATTGTGTCCATTTTTGCCCCAACTGTTCAGGGTTGGACCTCTGCGGGCGTATCTAGCTGCGCTCAGCGAAGCAGTTTATTGTATTTTTGCCATGGTGTTGTCAGTTTATCACCAACTAATGAGTACGAATTTGCCTTTGGTAAATTCCGCCTGTCTATTGTTGTCGCTTGTGCATTTAGATGATTGAAAATGAATAAATTTTGTTTCATGTCTTTAATTGATATAAACTTTCAAAACGTTTTCAAACTCAGGTCTGTCACGTAATGATGACCAGGGATGACTTAAAGATTGCTATTTTGAAAAGGTTAACATTTGTGCTTGATTACCATTGTGTTGCCTATATGTAGATGATGGTTGTCAAGTTTTCTTGTTTTACTATGTTGATGTCTTATTATCAATATTTCCTTTTATTAATAGCTTTGATGACATTGCCCATGGAAACTACAATTGTTAGCATGAAAGGTCCGATAGAAATTGCGATACAAAAATTTAAATTAGAAAAAGAGGAATCAAGAGCAACAACGTTTTCAGAACAAGAAGCCTTCTGGAGTCTTCCGATGAATGAAACAACAGTTATTAGCGATATTGCAGTTACAAAGGCGGAAAATAGATCACAAGGCAAAGGGTCCTCGGACATCATCCACATAGCAACTGCTAATCCGGTTGGCTTATTTACGCTTAATCCCAGAACATCTGAAGCAGGTTTTATTGATATGTATGATTTATTTCCAGGCATTTCGGGATCATATCGTCCGAGGGTAAAATTAGCTCCATTAGCAGAGCCGCTTGACGATAATTTGTTAGTCCACGAGGAAGTCGCAAATGTATTGTTGTCCATTAATTATGAAAGAGGCGAGGTTGTTAGAATTTCATCGAGTTCATTGCCTGAAACTCAAATTGAGAAACGGCGGTTTCCTTCAAAGCCTGTTCAAAATCCAAATCCATACAAAATGTTGCCGAGCACGCTACCAAATTCTAAAGGCACTGTTATATTCTTCAAACAAGGTGGAGACGAAATAATTGCATTTACCGGACCACACACTCATTGTATATCGTTACCTGTGAATATTGAAGATGTTCTCCAAGTCGGAGATAACAAGTGGACTGTTACTGCAACTGATAATAAAAAATATTTAATACATTTAAATGCAGACAACGACTTTATTTTCAGTCATATTGACGAGCAGGATATCGATTTGAAATTATTAGCATCAGCACCCTTACCTCTAAGTGACGTACAGTTATCAAAATCTTTGGATAAACCAATATCTGGTTCAAATCGAGTAGTTGTTACACCTACCAGCTATGCTACTATTCTGTCTGGGTTTCCAGATTCATCTAGCATTGAAGTTTTCTCAGTACCACGAACACCTTTAGCTAGTAATAGTATAACTGAAAAAATTGACCCTATGCTAGGTCTTCTTGGTAAATCAACGTCATCTTCACCTTCTTCAAAGTCAAGAGGTGCAATACTTCATTTGCCAAACTCTGGGCAAATAGTAAGGTCAATACCACCCTTCAAATTACCGGAAAATGTGTATGAAAAAGATCAGAAACCGAGAGACGCGAGTGGATTCCTTGAAATTACAGATGTTGTGAACCGTACCTTGAGATATATTCCTGTACCAGGAGCAACCCGTACATCTCCATATACATCGTGGTTATACGACATATCCGATTCCTCTGTGTTAATGGCCCCAGCTAGCAACGACGGTCTGGTTACTGTTGATACAGGAGGGTGTATACGAATGTGGGAAACTGCCCTGGTTAATATTGAACGGTCTCTCGAGGAATGGAGACGAATGATTGGATATGGAGACGACAAACCTTTACAGGTTACCTACGACAAGGAAAGTGGTCGCAAAGCAGATGGCCCAAAACATGGAAAAACTGACCCAACTGGTGCTGCACATCATGGCGGTAATACTTGGGCTGGTGGAACAGGAGGAAGTAATACTGCTGGTGAGTAGTTTGTCTATATTGTAAGTATCGTCAATGCTCAAACTATACTACATATAGAATAGTGATCAATATAGATTAATCACCACACATTCAACACATACAACAGATATCAAGCTACAGCAGGAAACATGGACAGATCAAACTATTTTTTAACCAATAGGTTCTCGAATGATCTGTATTGTTCCTAAAAATCTCACGTAACTATAAGTATAAACTTAATTTATAAGTTATCAATCATATAAGGGAGATTTTAAAAACAAACACCTTTCACAACATCAAATTATCAAGTTCGGAACACTGCTGCAGTGATTATATCAGTACGACATCATACTAAGGCACTTTGAAGATAAAAAATACTTTCTTGTCTGTTCTGGAACTTAATTAGATTTTTTACATATAAGAAACAAAACGGATAACAGATACATAGAATATAGAATTATCAAACTTAAAGGACAGTACAATAGACCACATCAATATCTTTATCAAATTTTTGAAATAAATACATGTATTCAAAACTTTACAATGCCCATCATCTATTAAAACAGCATATTATTAACCAAGTTTTAAGCTTTCAATGTCTTAGAATTGTATGATAATGTTACAGAACTTAAGCTTTGAAACTGTAAATTTTGTAAGACTGAAAGATATGTTACCTTGCTATAGGTTATACAGTGAAAGACCTTAGCTGATCATGCCTTCCTAGTTCTAATCCCTTGATGCTAGTATAATTCTAATAGAGCTAAAAAAGAGATGAATCTTTACCAAAAAAGTCAACAAGAAAGTGAAATCATAAAAATCAATGTTTTACATACTTCTGTTTAATCTAATTCAATGCTTACCAAATTTACTCTTACAAACAGAAGATCATTCTTATATTCTTATAGATCTACATTAACAATGGCAACATCGCCTGCACAGAACCTAGCGCTCTACCCCGCCCCTTGACCACATCCACTTTTTACAAAATAAGGCCTTAATAATCGAGTGTTTATCCTGTCCAAAAAACTAGGGTGTCAATTAATACAGGTCATTAGGTGACTTTTACAAGCCCACTTGTGAACCTTTACTGCAGTATTTAAAAACAAAATAAATAAGACCATTGTCAAGTTAATAAATATTGCCTCCGCAAAATTGTCATTGTATTAATGCATCATATATGGATTCCAATCTCCACTTGCATGGCACAGGGTCGAAACTCAATTATTGAAGCCTTATACATGAGTCATACATGTATTCGTAATGTGAAGGATGTAAAATTACCCACTGGACAGTAATTATTATTATATAATTTAGCTTTAACTTAACATTGTAAGTTTGCTGAAACTTACCCATTAGAACAAAAAATTTAAATCAATAAGTAAAAACCGATTTAAGGAGAACTTGTCATATCAAAATTTCTTTTTGAAATTGGATATACATTTTGAGATGCAGTTTGATAGAATATTCGTTTACAGACATTGCTACAGTTTCAAAGTTTTTAAAAGCTTCAGTTTCGTGTCTTTGGTAAGAAACTCTCCTTTAAAGCTTTAAATAAAACTAGAAAAGGTTTTATAGTACACAACTCTAAAGAAATGTTTGCCAACCATTTGTACTAACTACATTTGAAAAAGCCAAAATTTAAACTAGAAAATGCAATCGTAAAACTATTGTTTTAGTATTGTTGAAAATCACGAAAACCAAAGGCAAATTTAGATTCAGAACAATTTGTACCACTTGAAATAGTAATGGTTGGTATTATTAAATACCATTTTGTACATGATTTTTTAGCTAATAAAGGTATCAGATATATGTAATTCTTGTATATATATCAGTGTTCTGAGTATTGAAAACTGTATGCACAATTAACACATGCATGTCTCATTGCTATAGGACTTGGAGGTATTGGCGGTCCCTATAGATTAGATGGCGGTCACAGCAAGGTGTATCAAGTGCCTCAATGGGAGAAAGACCAAGTTCCAGAGGAAGTCAAAAAGGCTGCTCGAGAAATGGCACAGAAGGCATTTAAAGAAAGACTGAAAGAAATAAATATGAGTGAATACGATGCTGAAACTTACGAAAAATTCTCTGGCAGTGTAAGAAGTCAAGTCCAGTCATTACGGGTAGTTTTGGACAGTTTACAAGCTAAAGGAAAAGAGAGGCAGTGGCTGAAAAACCAGGCATACGGTGATTTGGATGATGGTAAATTAATCGAGGGGCTTACAGGTGAAAAGTCTATTTACAAAAGAAGGGGAGAGAAGGAACCCGAACTTGGAACGCCACAAGAAAAGCCTAAGCGTATTCGATTGGTTGTCGACGTTTCTGGAAGTATGTATAGATTTAATGGCTATGACGGTCGTTTAGAGCGGGAAATGGAGGCAACGCTTATGATGATGGAAGCCTTTCAAAATTATGAAGAAAAATTTAAATACGATATAATTGGGCATTCTGGAGAAGATCATAAATTGGAGATTTGCAAGATCGACAAAATTCCTGCAAACAACAAAGAAAGACTAGTTATTCTTAAAACAATGCACGCACATTCTCAATTTTGTTTGAGCGGTGATAATACATTGACGGCAACAAAACATGCAATAGACAGTCTTGCAGAAGAAGAAGCAGATGAACATTTTGTCATTTTGTTAAGTGATGCGAACTTTGACCGATATGGCATTTCTCCTCGCCGATTTGGGCAAATATTGCGTTCAAACGACAAGGTTAATGCATATGCTATTTTTATCGGTTCTTTAGAGGACCAGGCTACTCAGTTGATCAAGGAATTACCGATGGGGCATGCTTTTGCTTGCATGGACACAAAAAATTTACCACAAATTTTACAACAGATTTTCACCTCAACCATGTTATCATCAAGTTGACGAATGCAGGGAATAATCTTATTCTGTGATAGTTTTCTTAATCAGTGAATTTTATGCTGTTTTTTTAAAGAATATTTATACAGTAATGATTATTGAACAATATGAATGATCATGATCTTGAAATTATAATAGATATTATAATTCAGAAATGAATTAAATTTTGACGTGATGTTTTACTGAGCACTTCTGTCCTGTCCATTATGTTATTGTGTTGAATACCTTTTTGTCGACCCTGCGACTTTTGTCGCAAAAGCGAGACAGAGCGATCCTACATTCCGTCGTCGGTTCGTCGTCGGCGGCGTCCACAATTATTCACTCTGTGGTTAAAGTTTTTGAAATTTTAATAACTTTCTTAAACTATCCTGGATTTCTACCAAACTTGGACAGAAGCTTGTTTATGATCATAAAATAGTATCCAGAAGTAAATTTTGTAAACAAAAATCCTGTTTTTCCGTATTTTACTTATAAATGGACTTAGTTTTTCTTCCAGTTAACATTACATTCACTCTGTGGTTAAAGTTTTTAGAATTTTAATAACTTTCTTAAACTATCCTGGATTTTTACCAAACTTGGACAGAAGCTTGTTTATGATCAAACGCTGGTATCTAGAAGGAAATTTTGTAAAAATATATTTCCCGTTTTTCCGTATATTACTTATAAATGGACTTGGTTTTTTTTCCAGTTAACATTACATACAGTCTGTAAAAGTTTTTAAAACATTTATTAGATTCATAAACCATTTTGTATTTTTTACCAAGCTTGGACAGAAGCTTCTTACAATCAAAAGATAGTATCTATAAGAAAATTTTTAATAATTTTTTCCCCATTTTTGTTGAGCCTGTGACTAGCTGCAAAAGTAGGCGAGACACTGGGTTCCGCGGAACCTTTTCGAATTTTTGAATATAGTTAGTTAGGCACTCTGTTGTTGACCCCTTAGTCATTTGTCCATCCTCACTTTTTTGTCATCTAAATACCTCCCTGTAGTCTAATTGAAAATAACACTTTATAAATTCCATGCATGCAATGCACTTTTCTGGATCTACCTACACGAGGATCGCTCAAACCTAAACATTTGAAAGCCAGGGATGTATAAAAACGTAGAAACATTAGGAGCTAAATGACCAAGAAATACCTAAAATGAATAGCCAAATTCAGCTACGGTCTTTATACTTACCGACTTAATTAAAATTGATTATGTTTTCCGGTACAAAGATGCTTAATGACGTTTTCCGGTACCTCAGTCCCTCGTCGCACTCGACTATATCAATTCTAACAAGCGGGGGGGGGGGGGGGGGGGGGGGGGGGCAATACCTTTTTCTGTTAACCTGTTTTGGGCTATTTCAAGGTGTGGTTAACTGTTATTTGAAATATAGATGAACTGTTAACTGTTTTCAACCCACTGTCTGTTATCTGTTACTTGACACTTAAAGTGTTCACTGTTTTTGACATAATTTATCTCTGTTAACTGTTATTTACAAGAACTTTCAAGATTCACACTAATCACATTAAATTTGCTGTTAATCTCTTTCTTTACGGTGCTCCCTGAAAGGAGTAACATAAACAGCATATATGTAACTGTCTATGGAGATCTTTAAGGAGAAAAGATCCTTTCTTAAACTTTCCTTTGCCAACAAAGGTCTCGATACCATCAACTTGGGCCAAATCCTTCATCATAAATCATTGAACTCGAAAATACCTCCCTATTTTAAAGATCAGTCTGTACATATCATTTCGTATACCTGATCATACCTATACCAAACCAATTGCAACTAAAATTTTCAATTACAAATACGTGTTGCAGGATCTCAATATTGACGACTTCAAGTCTAAACCTCCTGATTGCACCTGTGCTAGTTCCCCATTCATATAAAATCCGGCTGGCCACGTTATTACTGGTGACCTAAACATTGTCAATAACACTTCTCTGCAAAATGTGTTATCTAAAGGCCCGAAATATAGTGAAACTAAATCCAATTGGAAACACAACTTCAAAATACTGATGGATTCAGTCGAGGATTATGCCAGGCAATGGGTTAAATGGGACAAAGAAGACGTAGATACTATTTCCCAAAAGATTAAGGCTGTGAGGTTGTTGATACAAATCAGAATTAAGAAATTGAATTGGTCTATGAATACCCACGCTACATCAATCTTTAAAGACACGAATGTTGCAAAACACTTGTCCTACCTCCATGACAAATATGTTGTTGTCCCCGCAGATAAAAGCCCCAAACAACATAGTTTTTGTGTGTAAATCACATTACATAAACTGCTTGATAAATGAATTAGGTATTGACATATATTGAAACTCAACATACACCCCCACGACACTTACCAAAGAGGAAATCCTTGATAATCACAGGTCTGTTCTATGTTCCATTGGAATTTCAACCAAAGATGAAGAACTGATTCTTCCATCACTTTATTGGATACCTAAACTACATAAGTGTCCTTACAAACAACGGTATATTGCTGGGTCTTCCAAATGCTCCACGAAATCTCTTTATAAATTATCAACATCAATTTTATCAGCAATTAAAGCCGGGCTTCAAAGTTATTGTGAAACTACATATTCTAGAGGTGGCGTGAATCAGATGTGGATACTGAAAACTTCCAAAGATCTTTTAGAGTACATACAATATAAGACTCTTTCATCTTGCAATAGTATTAAAACATTTGACTTTTCTACGCTTTACACAAGTATTCCCCATTCCAAACTAAAAGACAAATAGAAAGAGTTGGTCCTGCTTTGCTTCATAAAAAAAGAATGGCCAATTATCTTGTCTTAGGGAGGGATAAATCCTACTTTGTAAAAAATCACTCTGATTTAAACAAAAAACTCTCTGAAACTGACATTATCAAGATGCTTAATTTCTTGATTGACACCATTTTTGTTACGTTTGGAGGACGTGTTTTTCAACAAACAATCGGCATTCCCATGGGAACCAACTGTGACCGTCTTCTTGCCGACTAGTTTCTTTATTCATATGAGGCTGACTTCATACAGAAACTTCTTAGGAAGAAAGAAAAGAAGTTAGCACTATCCTTTAACTTTACTTTCCGCTATATAGATGATGTTCTCTTACTAAATAATTAAAAATTTGGTGACTATGTTGAACGCATCTATTCCATCGAACTTGAGATAAAGGATACAACAGATATCTTGACTTACATCTAGAATTGACAATGAGGGTCGGTTGAAAACAAAACTTTACGGCAAAAGAGATAATTTCAGCTTCCCAATTGTGAACTTTCCATTTCTACATGCGTGATTGGCGAAAATTAATAAATTTTATTGTTTGTATATACAGATTGTTATTACAAATGATAACTTTGATGTACATGTTTTAGTTTGAGTGTGGTGATTTGAAACTAGAGAGAACAGCTGTAGTAAGAGGGAGCAAGTTCCATTGTATGATTGTACGAGGGAAATACGACACAGGCACTTGTATCTATAAAATATCTATATACTTTAATATCAAAGGTATATAGATCTGTTTTTGGAAAATGACGCAGTCAATTTTCTTTTATCATTGACCAGACTTCCAACCCGCTTTCCGAACTCGGTTCCGTATTTTACATACTTAATGTACTATACAGTATTTCATTCTTTAATTTCTTAACATGTCATACCTGCCAACTATCACGATTCAGACGTGAAATACTCGATTTTGACCCCTTGTCACGATTGCACGATTGTGATCGTGTAAAAAACTCTAAAACACGATTTTGTTCAATTCTACACAAAAATAATGATTGTTCCCGATTTTGAACTTTCCTCAAACTTTTCCCAAGGGAGACAACCGTGATCAGCCAATCAAAATCGTTGTTTCTCCTGATCTTTGGGTATTGTAAACTGCAAATGTGCTAAATTTTGAACTTGTTAAGAACTCAGAATTGTAGAAATCGTGATCATGGCAGACCAATTTTCAACTATAAGAAGGTTCTTACACAGCTTAAGAAGTAAATCATGACTGATTGACAAAGTTCAAAGATACAGTTCAACCATAAACATAATAAACAGTAGCTAATGGACAAATTTTACACTTATGGTAACAGATCATACATGTTGTCATTCTTGAAATTAAATTACCAAATCAACTAAAGTACAATGTTCTCTCTTTTAATTTTTACAAGGAATCAGATATATTTCCTTCTTTGTGCATATTTTTATATTTGAAAAGTCAACAATCACTTTAATATTCCTGTGACCAATAATCAGCTGATTATCCACCTTTAATAAATTAAAAAAAAGACTTCTTCAAAAAAAGATTTCTATCATATTCATCTTGGAATATGATCAAATATGTTAACCTATTTTAAACATATCTTAAATAACATTTCAATACTTATGGAAAGAGTTATTCCATTTCTTCCTTTGATATTAAAGGATATACCAATTTTAATTGCAAAATTGAAGTTTGATGGATGTAAATAAAAATTAATAAAAAAAATTGCAATTTTGTCATTGAAAACCTTCTTAAAATATGTGTCAGTAATTATGAAGCTGTAAAGGATATATAACTAGTTTATAAGTCAAACAACTAAAAGTGAGAAAAAAATGTACCCACTGTGTTACATTTTGGGACAGGTCACGTAATGAAATCAAATTATTATCTAAGCATTTAAAGTTTTAAAGTTTAATAATAAAAATGTCACTTTTTTGCATTTCTGTTAATGCACATGGCAATGTATAAAAAAAATGCAGGTCTTTGTCTATTTAATATAAAGTATAACGGTTAACCAACATGGTAGTTGGAAATAAATGTAACTGCATCAAATCGCAAACACAACTGAACACTTAAGGTGATATGGAATCAATCTAATATTGCGCGCTTACCACAGCGCTATAAACAAATCCTGGGGAGAATACTGGATTGTATTGCTTTCAGAGTTATGTAATACACCTTGTCTAAGAAATAGGTCTAGCTAGGTCCTTATAAAAATAAGGCTATAATGATGTAAAATTTACATATTTACATTAGAGAGCAATCATCTAACTTCCAAGGGGGTGGGGTTATGGTTTTTTTCTAAAAAATATTCTGATCCCCAATTTTATGAAAAAAAATATTCTGGTCAAGCAGATGACAAAAAAATTTATTCTGAATGCTAATTCCCTCCATACTTTATAGTGTCAAATTTTTAAAAAGAATAATCTAGTTGATTGTGTCGAAAAAACTAAATAAATAATTTTCTGAGTGACTAAGAAAAAACAACATAATCCCCCCCCCCCTTTTTTTGAAGTTACAGCTAAATAAAATTGAGAATGGAAATGGGGAATGTGTCAAAGAGACAACAACCCGACCATAGAGCAGACAACAGCCGAAGGCCACCAATGGGTCTTCAATGCAGCGAGAAACTCCCGCACCCGGAGGCGTCATTCAGCTGGCCCCTAAACAAATATGTATACTAGTTCAGTGATAATGGACGTCATACTAAACTCCAAATTATACACAAGAAACTAAAATTAAAAATGATACAAGACTAACAAAGGCCAGAGGCTCCTGACTTGGGACAGGCGCAAAAATGCGGCGGGGTTAAACATGTTTTTTGAGATCTCAACCCTCCCCCTATACCTCTAGCCAA